TCTTGAACATATGATTGTTCAAAAAGAAAAACAATCATTTTACCTTGTGCTGTCCATCGTGTTACTTGATCTGTACGTAATGATGAGCACGTATGGCCACCACACAACGTTATTAATGTACGTAATTCTTGATTATCCATTAACTAAATATAATCAAATTTTAAAAAGACAGAAAGAAAATCTTGTCTACTAATACTAATTACCTTCTCAAGTAAAAAAAATTCTAGTGGACTATGATTGTTTTTCAAGAGTTATCAGCAGGACATGGCAGTCTTTTTCTTCAAAATTCTTATTTTTTAAGGGAAGACTTCAAGATCGAAGTCTCGCTTATGCCTTGATACAGCTAATAATGGTAACAGTTCCGGTCTAAAGAAAACTATTCTAGAATTTATTCGTATCACACCTAAAAATTCTTCAATACTTGTTTTTGTATTTAGTCGACAACTAGCACTTTTTGGGACATCTCTTTTGATTCCACACATCTTGAATATGTATTTTTATCTGCACAAAAATCAAAAACTGCACTATTGAGAACATTTACAAATGTATTTCAGTCATTCAAATTTCGAGAAAGACTTTGGAACAGGGGTCGGAGCGATGTGATGTGAAAAATCAGGAATCAGGACAGGAATTTTCGAAGAAAAAAATCAGGAAAAGGGTCCCAAAATCAGGAAAATCAGCATTGCTTGGAAACACAGGGAAAGATATAAATATACGCATGTTTTTTAACGAGGCGCACAACCTGTTCGTCTATTTCATTTTTCATACTTCTTGTTGTTGTGAGACATCTTCTCATTTCTCGTTTCTGATCGTACTTTCGCGAGGTACTTTCCTTCCAATGTTTCGTTGATGGTCATGCACATGAAGTTCATCTAGCAAAGAGAGTTGCTTCGCGTTAGCCATATAATGCCAAACAATCAATGATCGAGAACATAATCGCAACAGTCATCTTTTTAGTCGACGATAAGTTACATTCTGTCGATGTATTTTTCCTGTTGGTAGGTGTCATGAGTAGGTGTATAAACTGCATCATACTATTTTATTCTTGCATAATTCGAGAATAATCACATCGATGCCTATAAAACCGGTAATATTTTGATTATTTCCTTTATTTTACTTTTTCACTGTCTAACTTACACTTGACACTTCGCAGATTCACGACTGATTATTTCATTGTTCTACAACAGCAAGACATACATACTGGCTAAACCTTACAGTTGCATAATTACGGCACAACCATTCGAAGAGGTTCCGGTACCTGATAAGCCAGTTGAGGAACCGAGTGGAACCAATAGACATCAGATTCGAAATGACATATGGCACAAACATGAACCGGATGCTTAATCTCGCTATTCTAGACTCTAGGTGGAAGCATGGAAAGAAAACTTTTGGCATTTATACAAATCATCATCATATGCGTAACGTACATTTTGCATTTCGACAATAATCGTAAAGATGGCTTATGTGTGTATGGGCCAATTCAAGAACAGATATGTCTCTCAGATATATATGAATGCTCGTTTCTTATTATTTTTCTAATGTAAAATTCCAGAAAATAATACTTATTGAATAAGAAAAAAACAAAATGGAAATGAAACTTGTTTTTCTTATATCGAAATTGGAGTGTGAATGGGCGTGTGCGTCTTCTCTTCACCTACACTTACATCTACACCCCACACCGTCTCAAATTATGTTTTAATTCCAAGAAAAACAAAAAATATTTCTTTGAATGTGAAAGGTCACTCGTCTGCTTGTCTCGTTCAACTAAAAAAGCCTTAGATCTTAATAAAAATCAATAGAAAAGTATTCAATCTATTTCACAATCGAACGTGATACATGAATTCGGTTTCCTACAAGCAATATTAGCTGACAAATGGAGAAGTTCTTCAAGTAAGCGGTATGGGTGTGTGGTGGGGTGCGGGGTGTGGGTGTTGGTGTTGGTATACAGAAAATGAATACTCACATTCACACCCGTACCCACACTCACATCCACACCCATACTAGGTCGTGGGTGTGGGTGTGGGTGTGGGTGTGGGTGTGGGTGTGGGTGTGGGTGTGGGGTGTGGGTGTGGGTGTGGATGTGGGTGTGGGGTGCGGGTGCGGGTGTGGGTGTTGGCGTGGGTGTCGGTCAAAGCGGATGAAAAAACACCCACGCTCACATCCACACCAACACCCACACCCACACCCTTTCGGATAGTTTTATCGGTGTGCCTTTCAGAGATGGGATCGGTTGGCATTTTTGCGAAACCGAACCGAACCGAACCGAAAAAATCTTTAATCGAACCGAACGTAACCGGCCGAATTTTTTAAAATTTCTAACCGAACCGACCGTAATCGAAAAAGTCTCTAACCGAACCGAACGTAACCGACCGAATATTTAAAAATTTCCAACCGAACCGACCGTAACCGACCGAACTACAAAAACTTTGTAATCGAACCGAGTTTAGAGAAAGCGAAGTTTATCTTATGTTAATTACGGTATTAGTGCTTTATAAATTAGCAACGACAAATCGAACAATAGCAACTGTGAGGAATGAACATCTAGAGAAAGTAAAGAATCAAGATGATTTATTGGATCCTCTTACTGTATTATAAATTCCCTACCTCTCCCAACAAATTTAAAAAACATGTGAGATAATACGAGTTACGAACAACAGCTAATTGTTGTACGATTACACCCTTTTTTCTTCTCATGTCTCAAAAAAGTCCATCGAACTCTAATCAAAAGATCACGTCGACTCTTTCTAGCCAAAACGAACGTAACCGACCGAATTGTTTAAAAATCTTCAACCGAACCGATTTCGATTACGGTCGGTCTGTTCGGTTCTGTTAAAAACCGAACCGATCCCATCTCTGGTGCCTTTTTAACATAGCTGCGCAAGTACAAATACAACTTGTATTACCTTTTTTTTACCACAATTGTAGCAATCATGTACTTTATGTACTTTATGTACTATGTACGATGTATTATACATAGACGCCATGTACTCCCAACAAACCTAGAATTCTAGAATTCATGTAATTTATGTACTATGTACTACGCATTTTACATACACCACCCACGTAGTGCCCGAAAACCTAGAATTACAGGATTAATGTACTTCATGTAGTACATGCACTACGTATAATACGTAGTACATAGTACATAAAGTACACGAACGCTACAATTGTAGTAGAAAAAGGTAGTACAAGTTGTACTTGTATTTGCGCAGCCGTCCTTTTTAACTGTGTTCCTTGAGCGAAAAAAGCACCTCTTACTATTTTTTCTCTGCAAAAATAATTTTTGACAAATCTTGCTGGCATTGTTTCAAGTGACTGAACGTGCTCTATTCTACCAATCGATGTGAAGCTACCACGACGGATTTAGGTGATCTCTGAATCCTCAGCATTACAACCTAGAGGCATAGGACCTGCATGAGGGTGTTGGTCGTGTCCTTCTGAGCACCCTCATGCAGGTCCAATGCCTCTAGGTTGCAACGTTGAGGATTCAGAGATCACCTAAATCCGTCGTGGTAGCTTCACATCGATATTCTACCATAAGTTCATAAAGAATGACTTGATTTATTGATCATTCGAATATGTAATATGAAAAGAACGACTGAGTTGTTCTCGAAACTTTTCTCTTTTTTTCGGCGTTCACCATTTAACATATACAATCCAATATTCCGTTCGATGGATATCCTCAGTTTTTGATTGCATTTTCTTGATGTTTCATTGTTCTTCTTTTCTCTTGGTCTGTTAATGCAATCATCGAAGAACAAGGGCGAAAGAAGCATCGTGGCCCATGTATTCCTTGTTTCCATAATGAGAGTTTTTTCCCATTTGGTTATCTGTAACGACGACAGAATGAAAAGAAAAAAAATAAATGACCGATTATTGAATATATGTATGACAAAGCTGTTCGCCAGTATGTGGAAAAATCTTGCAGATTATCTTCTATCGGAGATTGTTACTGTCATAGAACAGAAAGAGCGTTTTTTTTTCTCGTTCTCTTATCAAGTATTTTGGTACGACGTACAGGGTGTCCGGAAAGTCATTTAGAAAAAGGTTTTTCATATAACTTCATTATTGATTGGACTTCATCGACTAATTCTTTTTGTATGATAGCTGGATACACCGAGTTTTCATTTCTACGAACAAACTTCAGAAGTACTGTTCAAAGCTATTGCCTTTGATTGAAATACAAAAATTTAGCCTTTTTCTGCTTCGAGCAAAACTTACGGATAATTTCTGTTTTAATTGCTTTCATTTATTGAATTATAGTGATCTTTAAATTGTTCAAATCTGAAACGGTTGTTTCATAAAAATTTCTTTTTGATGTGTTCATAAAAACGGATCAACTAGTATCGAATCAAAATTCAGGCAATTGAAACAGAAATTATCCATGAGTTTTGCTGGAATCAGAAAAAGGCTAAATTTTTGTATTTCACTGAATGGTGATAGCTTCGAATAGTACTTCTGAAGTTTGTTCGTAAAAATGAAAACTCGGTGTATCCAGCTATCATAGAAAACAAAATTAGTCAATGAAGTCCAATCAGTAATAAAGTTATACGAAAAAACTTTTGTTAAATGACTTTCCGGACACCCTGCATATCATGGTGATATTTTCTACCATTTAAAAATAGATAACAGGATCAATCATCGATGAAAAGCCAGCTTAGTAATGGAAGAAGAAGGAAAAAACCCATATCGAGTCGAGTAATGACATTCTGTATACGGGTAGAGAACGGTTTATCACTAACCATTTAGAGCATAAGCAATACATCATTTGCACACCATAGATATATACACACACATATCCGCATATATTCATATCAAAATTGTTGTAACGCTGTTAAGCGAAGTAAGCTTGGATGCTATTTCCGTCGTGTCCTTCTTACAATCAACATTCATCGTTGTCGAATAAATAGAAAAAAGTATAAAGAACATTAGATAAGTTCAGTACTTCAATATCAATATTTATTAGTACCTTCGATACTAATTAGAAATCTACCAAATCCAAGCCATGTAGGAGTTGGGTTTAAGTTTGTTCTAATAATTGTGGGTTCGGTGTGAGTCTAGTACCTGAACTCGTTAAACACTTTGAGTTTGGGTATAATTTCGTCTGTCTCACGTCGTTTATGTATATTGGAAATATTGTTTTTGTGTAAATATAAGCAAAAACATATTTCTATGTTTTACATTGTCAAGTATTAAGCCAAATTATTTGATAAATATAAGTACTCAACCAATATCACATCTTTTCGTATTTATTTTTTCCAGATGCTTTTCTCGGCTTTTGGTGTAAATCCTGATAGTTTTTTGGACGTCAATTGATGGAGTTTATATTGAGATACCTCGTCAACGAAAGCATTCATAGATATGAAGCACTTTTCTGACTTCAGTTTTGATTCAAAAACATTATTTCAATGAGAGTCAGAATATGTTTTAAACAGAATGAATGCTATAAAGTCCTCGACAAGTCAGAAGTCCTCCCCAGAATCGGAGACGTCTTCGTTAATAATCAAACAATTTCCCTAGGGTAAAAGAAGGAAGAGTGAGGGCGACTGTAAATCAGTCGAAAAACAGACTGATCTCTCATCTTAAGGTGTGAGGGTGAAGGTAAAGATGGAGAAGTAATCATCACCCTCATCTCATACTCACTCTCAATACTAGAATCTGATATCTAGACTGTAGCAAATCTGTGAATTAGATCAGGCATCCGCCAACGAAAAAACAATGTTAAAATTCCTGAATCGGATTGAGTGACTCGAAATCATAAAATGATCTATACAGCCTCATGTACAACCTACTAACCTTCTGTTATTATACAGATTTAATCAAACGTATCTATTGTTTTCTATAAGATGAGTGATAGAATAATGACCATAGCCTCTTCCAGAAACAATAGTTCTGAAATTCTTTATCATCATGCGGCACAAATCATTGTGTAGTGTTGCACGTCGTATACTTGAATTTTGTTTGTTTTTATTTTAGTTACATAAGAAAAGGATGAAGCAAAATTCAATGCTTATATTACGCCTGATATTTTTAATTATTTATTATTGGTCATTGAAAATAATGGCCCAACAAAAACCAATCACAATGGTTACATTGGGACGTCCATTTCATTTGGGTATGCTTTATGATGTTCGTAGAGATAAGATAATCACTGGCACTACTTTGTGGGAGCCGCAACACTTGGCGAACCATACAAGCACACATAAACAACCATATACTGGCTATAAAATTATCGCTGAAGATTCATTTCAGGATAAAGTACACGCTTTAGGAGTCGAAGCTGGTTTGAAATTAAGTATGCTTAGTGGTCTAATCAGTATCTCAGGTTCTGCAAAATATGCTGAGGATTCTCAAAGAACAAACCATGAAACCCGCCTGACACTAAAATATTCAACTACAACACATTTTGAACAATTAACAATGAAATACCTTGGTAAAGGTAATTTGAATCATCCAGATTTACATGATATAGATCTTGCAACACATGTCGTTACTGGTGTCGTTTATGGCGCCGAAGCATTTTTTGTATTTGATCGTACATTATCGAAAGGTGAATCTAGAAAAGAAATTGGTGGTACATTAAAAGCGATGATTAACAAAATACCAGCATTTAAAATCGAGGGAGAAGCTAAATTAAATTTGACCGATCAAGAAAAGAATTTTGTTGGTAAGTTGAACTGTAAATTTTATGGTGATTTTCATTTGGATAAAAATCCAAGCACGTTTGCTGAAGCTGTTAGAATCTATCGCGAATTACCGTCACGTTTAGGTAAACGCAATGAAAACTCTATACCAAAAAAGGTGTGGCTCTATCCATTAAGTTTATTGGATTCTAAAGCGATGCGATTCGTTCGAGAAATTTCATCGAAACTGGTTGATTCCTCAATATCGGTGATTGAAAATCTGCATTCGTTGGAAGTACAAGCATTAGATTTATCAAAGAATTCAATATTTACACATTTTAATCATATGAAAGAAGATTTACTGGATTTTGCCGCGCGATTGTCGGAATTCCAACGTGATTTGAAAGAAAAGATCGGATTGTATCTACCAAAATTACGTGGCAGCACTGGTATTGAAGAATCTATTTTATTTAATTTATTTAAACAAGTTGATTCATCACCATTTAATAAGCGAAAGTTAGAGTCATGGCTTAAAGAAAAGCGAGAAGCAATCGCGATAATCACGACATTGGTCGAAAACCTCACCAAAGATAGAAGCTTTCATATTACGATTGGATCATCGTCACTATCTGAAGTCATTGGTGACACTAGATATGATTATATTTGCTGCCTTTCATTTCGTTTCATTGAAAAAGATGATCCGCAACTTAGTGATATGGACCATTATTTATATAATAAGAGCAAAGTTAACTCGTCGCATGGTCGCCAAAAACGCAAACCGTGGTTTGAAGACCGTCGTCTTGTGCCGAAAATTCGCAAAAACATACGACAATTTATAGAGTTTGCTGAAGCGAACAACGTTGAAAATGGAAAAATAAAATTTATTGTTGATGAACAATATTCAGTTAATCATGTTAATAAAAGCACTAAACTTATTCTCTACAACAATGGATCAGAACACGAAGGCTTTATCATACCAAGTAAACCAGAGGCGCCGTATGCGAAAAATGTTACAGACAATAGTGTAACATTAGGATGGGCAGATGCAGCTGATGGAACTGAAAAAATAAGGAAATACAAAGTTATGTATCGGAAACATAGTGATGCATCATTTGTTGATAAACATGAAAATGAGAAAGAAGAAAAATGGTCGGAAGTTTACACAAATGCGAATCAAAAGGAGTTAGTTATTTCGAATCTGCCGTCAAAAGCCACATTTGTATTCAAGGTGCAATCTATCACTGTAATTGGATTTAGTGCAACCAGTGGTCTTAGCGAACCGATAGAAACACTCACAAAGAAAGGTAGTAAGTTGACGTGTTTTTCTTTCTGTATCATAGATGTTAGTTCAAAACATCACTTCTATGTCTCGTTTTTTTCTCTTTGAAGTCATCGAGTTATTCCTCTGTTTTCTTTTTGAAATTCTTTACCGGCCTACACCCGCATCGGCTATCTAAAAGTGATCAATCATAGAATTAGTCGTACCAGAACGTAGCTAAAGTTATTCAGGGATTCGAGTATTTCCGTCGCCGATTCGACCTAGAGTCCAATGGTCTCTTTCATGATCGATTGATAGTCATAGGTTGCAGCTACACGATTAAAAAATGCTTCAATTTTTTCGTCATTTGACATGAATAAAAGAAGATAGGAGCTATGGACTTCCAAAGAAATAGGTTTGGTTAACTAGACTGATATAAATGTGGCAAGGTGTGTATACTAGTATAACTGAGTAGTGTGGAGGACAAGAATATTTTATCAATTCTCAAGCAGGCTGAAAAATGAATGCAGCTACAAGAATATTCAAATAGTTTAATACTATCTACTGTGCATGTGTAATAGGGATTTGTTAAAGACGTTTTCCTGTCTACTTTTCTCATTCTTATCCACAATTATCATAATTGTAGTTTCCATTGGTGTCAAACTTGATACGTCATTCATGATTAATCACCTCAACGAACCAACTGTAATAGCACGTTGAATATCTTGGAAGCTCAAATTTTCGTGCACTATCTTCATCGTTCACAGTAGAATGGACAATATCCGCAAAAGGAATAGTGGAGACTTATTGATAGAATATGATGGTTCAATGATCACTTCTTCATTGTAAAGCGAACCACCTCTATCAAATCGTTTTCAGTGATGTTGAAAGGGAACAATATCAAACTTACTCTCTCGCTATAGTATCAGTATGAAGATTCTTGATTTCTCTTGTATGTCTCCTACAGCCGAGTTCGCGTACTTTCTTCATTGAAATTTCATTTGAGTTTGTGGCAGATTTTCCACAGCGAAACATAGTCGCATGTGAAAGTTTCAAAATGGAAATTTCCTAAGATCTCCTATGAGCGTCTAAAGTGGTCAGGATAACATAAAAAAACGAATCGAAAGCTACATTCGTATCACGAATGTTTTTTTTCCATCAAAAAATGAAACACATACGAATGATATAACAGGCTACTACCCAGCGCATTTGGCTAGTATTGTTTTCACATCATACTTTGCAATTCTGAAAGCTAATACGTTCGATAGAATTTAGGTGTTCAACATGACTGATTTACCTTTCTTCATTCGGAGACTACACTGTTTGTTGCGATCCACCCATTGTACCGAAGTCGATAAGTAATATGTGTCTAGAACAGCTAGTTGCAACTGATCGTTATTTCATTGTTACGCACAAGACCCCATGCACAGATCTCCACACTTTAAGAACATACAGTCTAACATTCTGCATTGTCAACCAGAGCATCTATGTATAACTTGTATTAGCACCATAGGCTTTCTTAGATTTCAGAAATCGACCATAATTCGTTTCGGCTTGCAATGATAGTTTCTACTGAGAAAATAAAATTAATTTTGTTGGAGATAGGCACTGTCCGATACTGACACCGTTTATAATGAAAGCAATGAACGAAGACATCATTTCACTAGTCGAATCAAATCGACCTATAAGCATGACCATTACGAAGGAATATCCATTTGCAGCAGATACAAATCTAATACTGGCCTAAGGAGAACAACCGGAAATCCGAGAGAAAAATTAGAAAAACACAGAAAGAACTGGGACTGAAGTACCCTAACATAGGGTGTCAGATGCAACGAGACCATTGATTATCTCTCTTTCTGTTGCCTTTGGTGCTCTGACAGTGATCACCGTGTTCCGTGTGCTTCGCTTACTCAACAACTACTACCGAAGTTTGACAACAACCCAATCAGTAATCCTGAGCATTGATACCATGAACAACATCCCAGGTACGCGAGATCAACAACCACCAGGAGACAATTTCGAAAGTTGGGTGTGGGTGTGGGTGTACGTGTGGGTGTACGTGTAGGTGTACGTGTGGGTGTGGGTGTGAGTATCATTCAACAAAAAAACAACAGCCACACCCCCACCCCCAACCCCATACCCATACCCACATCCACACGCACACCCACACCCACACCCTTAGCAATCATTAAAAAAAAGGATATTCTTAAAGACAAACAACTACTTTTTTTCTCTTTATGTATGTAAACGTTGATGCCTGTTTCTATTATCTATTTGTTTACTTTGGTTATTTATTATTTTTCTCAAAGTTCAAAATGTGATTTTGATCTGTTTGCAATGTAGCATAGTTATCGTTATATTTTTTCTTTCATTCTTAATATGATAAGAATGTATTGCTGATATATTTGACGATCAACTTTTCTTAGAGCTATCGAAAATTATTGTTGTTTTCATTTCGGTATGAATAAACATTTTTGAATTCTGAAGATTTAACATCCTTAGAAGAAAAAAGAACAAATCTAACATTGATAAAATAGAAAATTAAGTAAGTTTGTTTTTTTTCATCACCATGCAAATAAGTAAAGGGTACTAACTGAATAGAATTGATTGAATTATATAAGAGTATGTTTTTCCTTCGTCTATTAGTGCTAAGATACCTTTCTATTTATCGTGATGATGGTGATGCAAGAAATCTTTGTATTCCTCACTGCTTCCGCTGATTTTGCTCAGAGGTAGACGAATAAATAGATTATGCATCAAAGCCTGAGACAGTCATATGATTTGTTAACTTTTGTTTTCGTAATGAATGAATACATTGAAATTCTAAATCCTTTTTTATGACTTTTGTTTTGTTTGATCTCAAGTGACAGTATGCTTTGAGTTGTGATGAGTCCTTATCTCTTTTGAATACTTCAGTATACCGGATCCCATCGTCTATTTACATGTTGAAATGTGTATCTTTTTCGTCAGTTCTATTTTGTTCATCTCTATATTATTTCTGTTAATATCCTCATTTGTTTCAGTGAACCGTTCATTCAAACATTTATTCTGTGTATCGTAGTGTCATTTTTTTTCTCTTTCACTCATAGTACGTGATAACCGGGTTTTTTCTTGAGCAACTCATTGTCAGTCAAGAATTAATATGGATGGTAGATATTTCATCTTTCTATTTATTGTCTAGAGCAAAGTAGGTTTTTTTTGTTTTTCTATTCACATCAACACAGATAAGGAAGAAGCGAATAGCTATATTTCATAAGTTACGAAGCCATTTTGATTTTGTTTTTGTATTTGTCAACTATACCAAGTAGAACAGAAATACAAAAATATATCTTTCAATATTATATCTAAGTTATAGTTCAAAATTTATTGTACTCAACTGATATTTTTAGTAAGAGGGTAAATTATTTTATCAAATTTATTTTTCATTTTATTTTTATCTAAAATACGTAAAACAAAAACAACATCTAAACTTATTTTATCATTAGACTGCATAAAAACACAAAACGATAAAAATGACTCATAGTGATTTTCTCATTCTAACAAAAAACAACGAGTAGAAAATAAATTTGATAAAAAGATTTTCGCATGTTTTCTAAGAGTGTATTTTCTTCAGAATAATGTCAACTGAGAGTATAGTGAATTTTTGATCATAGTTCAGACGTTCCGAATATATATTGTCTAATTATGTCTGTTAAACTTTTATAAATTCGACAAAATAGAAAAAAATACTAAAAATGTCAGAAAATCTATGAAAGAATATTTATA